CTCTCCAAGTTCTTCACACTTATTTTAATTTTTTTTTTACGTAGTAAGTTTATCTACAATCTATGATATTTCCAAATAAAAATTATATTTTAGCTCATTTGTAGTACAGTGCAGCGATGGGCCGGATGAACTGACCTCGCGGGCCGTAGTTTGGTGACCCCTGTTCTAGGTCGTTGGTTCTCAATCTACGTACCACTAGTGGCCTGCGGGCTCCCTTCAGGTGGTTCTTGGAAAAGTTGTATAATCATGAAAAGGAAACGGCAGCATGGTGTATAGATCCCATTATGGTCCACTGAAATAGAAACAAATGCATTGATCTTCCATAATTAACGTAATGGCAAGGCTAGTTGAATGTCTGGCACTCGTATATAGACTATGTTCCCTTGATATTTCTCTCTTCTTTCATTTCAGCTTGAGGTTTGCCACCAGTATACGTAATGTCATTGGGGCGTCAACAGACGGCAAGACTGTCATACCTGCAAGACCTGTCAGAGAGCTGGGGAACACTTTACATGTAATAGAGGATTTTTCTTGCTCTACCATGACACCTGGGCTGTGTACTGAGAAACGTATTGCGACAGAATTCCATAATTAGAAATGAGGAGATCTTATGCTAAAAACTCCTCTAGTGTGTAATGTCATGCCAAATCACGCCTTTAATCTTAAGAGTTAATAACCCCAAATTCATCAGAGGTCAGGGTCGTATGACAATGTGAATAATAAAATAAGTCAATTATTCCATTCTGTCATTTGTCCTAGGTAACTCGGGCGCCCTCCATGTTTAAAAAATATTTGCTCGAGTTAATTCCCGCGAACCATTTCTGACCGTATGTTTAACTGTTTGCCCGAATTTATTCGCATGTTATGGTATACTAAAATTGACTATCAAAAAACCGAAATAAAATGCCTGCCTTTTTAACTCATTTCCAAAACAAAACCCGACACGGAAGGTTTAATGTATGTCAATAATTTCTAGTTATCACCTCGATTACTACACAATAACACAGAGAAAGGGAATTCTAAAACGAATGTATAACTTCTCTCTCGGCAGATGAAGACAATAAGTAATAATATACCAACTTCATCATCTTTGTGTGGATTGTTTTTAAAAGGACTAGCATCATAGAGCCAGGTGGTTAGGGTACTCGAATCTTGGGTTCGAAACCCGTCACCGAATATGCTCACCCTTTCAGCCATGGGTGCATTATAATGTGACGATCAATGCCACTATTCAACGGTAAACAGTAGCCTAAGAGTTAGCGGTGAGTAGTGTTGACTAGCTGGCTTCTCTCCAGTCCACAACTTCTAAATTAGGGACGGCTTGTGTAGCTTTGTGCGAAATTCAACAACAACAAAAAACAAAACAAAAAACGATTAGTTATTCTAATAGTTCTATTGAAGTCACGTGAGAGAGAAGTGAATGAAAACATCCTACTTAAGCATATTTTAAACAGAGTAAAACTTTATAAGAGCACTTAAAAAAAGAAGATAGACTGATTTAATTTTATATGGGATAATTCGTTATATATATATATATATTACTTAATATTTTTTGCCTTAGCAAACATAGAAGCTAGAAATGACGCTATCATAACCACGTTTTTCAAAACAAAAATTTATTTTTATCTTAATTTTTCTTTTACAATAATAAAAAATATTTGGTGCAGCGTGTTGATTATATATTATAAACACTATATTCATACAGTTCGACAATAGGCTCTTATTAATATAAATCTTTAACATGAAATCAGAATAAATTTATTTAGCTTGGAATATTTGTTGCACATAAATACAGATACACGTCGTCAAGGAATGGTTGTAGTACTAGTGGACAAATGTGAGGAATAAATCTTTTTATATCTGTTCCCCCCTTTCACTTCTTTGACTTTGGGGCATCGAATTCCTAAAAATCATTCAATAAAAGGGCCACTTGCGTTCTTATTATGCATTAAATTCTTAATTATATGACATTAGGTTATTTGTTTTGGAAAAAAAAACTTGTGTGCCTTTCACTGAAAATATGTACGTGCAAGTGAACTAACAGTGCTTTTAAACAGGTGCCTTAAACACAAGTTGAATGGTGATTACATCTATGGAATTTCTCAGAATAGAGTAATTTTTCTCAACTTTGCTCTTATTACGCGAAACTAACTAATCTACTAATCTAATGTACTAGCTAATCATAGGCAGTTTTATAAAGTATCATCATTCTCCTTTGATTGTTAAACTAAAAGAAAATCAGTTTCTTTCAGGCAGAGGTTACAGTGTATTATCATCCAAGTTACCTACATATTTTTCCCACTCTCGAATGCAAAATTGGCACTAAACCTTACTTTAATCGATTAAATGCGAATGTCATATTTTTAATTTTAGAAATGGCTGAATTTTGTTGTGTTCATGGGAAAACTTTCAATTTGGCGAATGGCGATATGGATTGGTAAAATTTTTCACATTTTTTGGCGTTTCAAAAAACTAAACAACTAACAAACTATAATGTTCTGCACAGATAAGCTATGAACATAACACACACAGATGAAGTGATTAATACTCCTCGCCGTCGATATCGCCCTCGCCATCAGCTGAGTCCACACCAACTTCCTCGTAGTCCTTTTCTAGTGCTGCCAAATCTTCTCGTGCTTCCGAAAATTCTCCTTCTTCCATACCTTCTCCAACATACCAGTGGACAAACGCCCTCTTGGCATACATAAGGTCAAACTTATGATCAAGTCGGGCCCAAGCTTCAGCAATGGCCGTGGTATTAGACAACATACACACAGCACGCTGGACCTTCGCTAAATCACCTCCTGGAACAACTGTGGGGGGTTGGTAGTTGATTCCCACCTACACGAGAGTTAATATTAAAATTTTAAACTAAAACTATGTAGACTATTATCTTATTTAATATATATTTTTCTCAGTAATAGTATCTATATAAATATAACAATTCTGTATGTTGTCTGTCCATGTAACTACTTTGCAGGGTGTGGATAGTTCTTCATTGAAATTGGTGTGGAGGTTCATTAAGTCCATGCGGGGTACATACAAATTTTCAGTTTTGCATTTTGCTGTTTCTATAAGCGTTTTTTTTCTTTTTTTTTGCCATTACTTCGCTCTCTATTGATGAATCTTCACCAAATGTGATATGGAGGTTCATTGGGTCCGCGGAGAGATACATATTAATATTCAGTTTTGCATTTTATGTTTTGCGATTTTTATGGGCGTTTTCGCGTTTTTTACTACTACTTCACCCCCTGTTGATGGATCTTCACCAAATTTGGCATTTTGTATTTTGCAGTTTTTATGGGCGTATTTATTTTACAATTACATATAAGGAAAGCAGCTTTTCATGTCCTAAGGTAACCTTTCATCAATCATGAATTTACATAACTTCCGTCCAGCGGACGGGTACTCCAACTAGTTTTGAAATATATTTTTAACCAACCTAGCTTATTATGGGCCTGGTATGGCCAGGTGGTTAGGGCGCTTGACTTCCAGTTTACGGGTCGCGGGTTCGAATCCCCGTCCCATCAAACATGCTCGCTCTTTCAGTCGTGGGGGCGTTACAATGTAACGATCAATCCCACTGTTCGTTGTTAAAAGAGTAGCCCAAGGGTTGGCGGTGGATGAGGATGACTAGCTGCCTTCCCTCTAGTCTTTCACTGCTAATTTAGGAACGGCTAACCCAAATATCAATCGTGTAGTCTTGCGCGAAATACAAATAAATAGTTTATTACAAACGTTTTATGTAAAAATCCGCGTATCCCACGTGTGTTTTGTGAGACAATTTAAATATTAAATTTCTGTCAGATCTGTGGTTTCATCAGCTACTCAAAAAATGACTGCTATAAGCTTATCGTACCTTGCTCGTAGCGTTCAAGTAACAGCTGTTAAAGTTTTAAAGAACACAGATCGTTGGTTTCATATGTGAAGCGCCCTCTGCGTATAGCTAATGTAAGTTATCTTGATAT